TTTTTTTTTTCATTTTAATAATTATTATCATTTTTTTTTTTCCAGAAATCTTCTAACTTCGGAAGGGTGATGGCATTGGCATCATTAGTTGGAATTTTAGGTTCTGGTGATTGTGCTGAAGCCAAGGTTAGTATGTCACAATGGAAATGGTCCATAGAAACATTTGATGGTTGAATGGGCTGTGACTGTGATTCTTGAATGACTTAAATACAGATTTGGTTTGCATAAGATATGAACTTTGATAGATCATTTTGTCTCAAAACCATATTATGTGCTAGCAGTTTTCTTGTTACTGAGTCCTAATGAGTTGTTGGAGGGTGATAGCATTGGCTCCAAAGATTGATCCTGCATAATTCTGATAGTGAATGTTTGCTAACTTGACTGCAATTTGTTTTGCCCTTATTATAAATCTTTGCCTGGTTAATAAATTGAAAATTTTTTTTCTTTAAGTTAGTTTTGCTCAGCATTTTCTCCCACACATGCCATTTCACAGAGCTTTGTATGGGAGCTTGAAATTCATCATCGTAATAGCATGCCAATGCCATCTTTGAATCTGGGTGCACCTTATTGCAATGGGAGTTTTTGTTTGTGTGATGAGAACTTTTCATCATTGCAGTTAAACAAGATGAATGCTTTGGATGACCGTGCTAACAGAAAAATCAAAAAATACGTCAAGAGGTCCATTGAAGCTGCCTTGAGGCGGGTGAGTGAGTCTGTCTCGTACCATATAGCTTCATATTTTCCTTTGTTGTGTATCATGTTGTTTGGTGCCAAATAGCATATTGTTAGATAAAGTGGAGTGCGACAATTTGATGAAGCTGATGAGCTTTTGCTGTTAGGTCACAGATACCATACTGGAATATAAGGTAGAAAGGGCCCATCCTTTGGCTCTACTTGCAAATGAACTCACATTGCTTGCAGAGAAAGAGTTAAATGTCTTCTTTCCAGTGCTTCGTCAATGGTGTCCTGAGTCTGTGAGAATCTCAGCCAAGCTACTACACCAATTTTATGGTGAAAAACTGGTTGGTTTTGAAATTATCTCAAATCTTTTTGGAGCTGATATTCATTACAAGATGCTATATATTTTATCATTATTGGGCATTTTTTTTTAGGTTCCATTCCTTGGAGGAGTGTCATCTCTTTCAGAAGATGTTAGATCTGTATTTCCTGCTGCTTACATGTTGGATCACACACTCAGCCAGCTTTATACTTCTTCTCTTGAAGACAGCACTTTGCGTCACTCTGTCAGCCAAGATTTGGGTCATTATCAGGTTCATAATGTAACCTAAGGATAATAACATAGAAGTTGTTGCAATGTTGCATATCTGTGTACAGTATCTTGTAAACACATATCTTTACAATGTCTCTGTCTAGGAGATTAGAACTATGGAGAAATTGCAAGTTCTTCTGTTTTCTTTATATTATTTCATTTACTATCTTTTTTTGGAGGGCATTAGCATGGATGTGTGTCAGTTCTTAAATCTTCAGCACAATTTAGATAACAAGAATTTGTTGTGTGCAGATTGAAAAGGCGTTAGGGCCAATACTTCTTGATTGGTTAATTGGTCAGCATGCACATATAATGGAATGGACTGGGAGAGCATTAGATATTGAGGTTGGTTCAACTCTCTGTCTTAGTCATATGATATTATTTATTTATCATTTGTATATAGTTGGATGATATTAATTCCAAATTAGAATAGTTTGTTTCTACTTGTTTGGTCCAGATATAAATTGGTATAGAGGATTCACAACCCCAGAAATCAGATACTTGGATTATATAAACTGAGCATCCTCTTTCATTACTCTTCTGTGAACTGTCATCATGAATTGATTTGTATTTAATATTCTGCAATGACAGTTGGGCTAATTTTGAATAATGGACATTTGCAGGACTGGGAGCCATTGTCTTTTCATCAAAAACAGGCAGCATCAATAATTGAAGTTTTTAGGATTATAGAGGAGGTGTGTGTTTTGCTTATGGATTTTTGGTGATTCTATTTTTGTGTTTCTCTTGTTCATTTTGGTAAAAATGTACACTTGTTGATTTCCATCTGCCTATCATCACAGGAAATTTGCTCCATGCAGCCATATTTACCCTTGCTCTTAGAAAATATTGATTGATGTCTTAATTAATTATTGCAAATGTAAAAAACCAATAAAATGTGTATAAAAATGACCCAATAAACTTATTTTCTGATAAAAAGGAAAAACCAAATAAACTTACTTTTGATGTTGTCTTAATTTAAAATTTCCAAGTATATTATTGTAATTTGTTTAGCTGCTTTATTTTTTGTATTGGTCTCTGATTTATCCCTTACATCCATGTTATCCTGCAGACTGTGGATCAATCATTTGGTTTGAAACTCCCTGTGGATATAACACACTTACAAGCTCTTTTATCCATAGTTTACCACAGCTTGGATGGCTATTTGCAGAGAATGCTCAATGAGTTAGGTATTTGTTTGTGCTCTGCAAACATATGACGTGATTGGTTATATTTTCATGAAGCTTGTGTATTGACGTGACTATGGACATGGTTCAATAAGCTGGAACTAGTGAGAACACCAAATCTCTGACATCCACAACTTACAGAATGCAATTTAGTTTGGTTGGTACTAGTAATTTAACTGCTATTTTGAAAAGATGCTTTAGATTCAGCCACAAACCAAATGATCTATGAAAAGTAAGAGTTAGAATGTTTGCCATAGAATACCATCATACTAAGAGCTTAAGACATTTTATCATGAATTGGGAATTTATGTATACATTTACAGAGGATTTATGTGCCTCTTTCTTCTCATTAAATATACTTTTTCTTGTTTGAAAGCTTCTGGTATACTTTTCTCTAAGTTTTACTTATTAAGCAATTCAGAAAACTAATCATGATAACTTTAATGTTGCAGTTGAGAAGAATCATCTCTATCCGTTAGCTCCTCCTTTGACTCGTTACGGAGAGACAATTATTCCAATGATTAAGAAAAGGTTGAATGAGTGCAAAGCTTTGGATGACAATGTGCTTAAAAAGTTGAATGAATTGACAGTACCAAGACTATGTATCAAATTGAACACTGTTCAGGTAATTGGGTATCTTGTTGATACCTACAAACCATATTGACTTTTATGTTGCTTTTTGTTAATGACTACAAGTGATCTACCAGACAATTCTTCTTTTGCTTTAGGATAAGAAATATTGGTTTTTTTAATCACTGTAAGAATGACTATGCTTATTAGTTTTATTAATGACCATAAGAATGGCTATGCTTATTAGTTTCATTAATGACTGTAAGAATTGCTTTGTTTATTATATTATTTTTTAGAAAAGCACATTGTTTCCTGAGATATTTATCAGCTTATTTTAGCATGCAGTACCACTCTTCATTCAGACAAGCAGTTTTTGGTGCCTAGCCCTTGGCATGCCTAGAACCCCATGCTTCTGTACTCTGTAATACCTTTTGCCTTTGGCTACCTTCCCTTGTGCCCAAATTTTATCACTATCACTGTCTTATTAAATATATATATATATACACTGTTTCATTATCATCAATCATCATTGAGAAGTTTGCCGTGAATTATATTTGTTTGTAAAATTAGTAGATGCAGTTGTGTTTCTCCCGGTATCCAAAATTTCCTAACTTGTTGCTTTTACTTTCTGTTTGTCTGTACCAGCAGCTCTATTGTCAAAATGTTTTATAAGAAAATTTTCATTTTTCACTTTCATCTTCATTTTCCCCTGCAGTTCATTCAGAAACAGCTTGGCTTGCTAGAAGATGGCATTAGAAGTTCTTGGGCAAATGTCACACCATCTCTTAATAAAAAATGTTGTAAGTTCCTTTTTAGTCTGTGGTAGTGAACTGGAAACCTACAATTGCTGATTTACTGGAAAATCAGACAAAAACAAAGTGTTATTGAACATAAAGGAGTCCTTTTAATTAGAAGTTTAGAATCCTGGAGGAAAGATCCAGTAAAAGCAATGGATTTGAATTCTAGACAAGGGCACTAGAAGTGAACTGCTTGTTTGAAGATGCATCATCTAAGATGACCAAGTTACTCTCTACCTATAAGAAGTTAAGAACTAGCTAAGAGGAGTTGCTGCCACTTTATTCCCTCTAAACTTTACCTGGGTTTGGCCAAAAAGTAAAATACACCTTTAAACTTGTATCTCATGTGGTGTTCCTATCAAAATTGTTGTCACACCTCTCCCCCTCCCTCCAGCATTAGATTGCGACCTTTCTTTATGTTACTTCTGCTGTCCTAGATGTTATCAGATTGACTTAGTGAATCAATAAACCGAAAATGAAAACTTTGACCTTCTTGCAGTCCAGACTAATGATTTTGTGACCCTAGACAGCACCTAGTGTCCACCCAAAGAGAGTGAGAGTTAAATATGTGTTCCTTACTTTCTGCATTAACTTAGATTCTTTGAAATTTTGAATGGTGGTATAAGGATCATCTAGTATCATATCTGAAAGAGAGTATAGTAAAATCCATTTTCCCTACTCTTGTGAAGACCTAAAATGTTGTAAGAGAACCTTTTTCTGGTATGCAGAAATCTATTGACTGCTAGCATAATGACTCAATAAGTGCTATTCTTCTTTTTGTTTAAATGCAGATGGAGAAGAGCCAGAGGAATCTTTAGAGAGTGGTTCACTAACACAAAATGAAGCAGTAGATGAACTGTTTGACACCACTTTTAACAGTATTCGGGATACTATTGGAAATGTGACCAAAAAAATTTCTGATCTGATTGGTGAGCCAAATAGATCCTTTTCCAACATGCAATAGCCATCTCTTAAACATGACACTGTTGTCAGCATCAAAGGACAGCAAATAATTTAACAGCCTTACTTAGAATATCAAATAATTTCACAAAATTTTCCTCTTTGGTGTTCTTCTCCTAAGCTTAATGATTAGTTTCATTGACATCAATTCTTACTGAGCTTTATGTTCCATACTATCTTTTTTCAATAAGGCCTTTGACAAAAAGACCTTTGACTTTCACAAGCTGTGAGCCAGATTACTGCTTATTTAGCATGATTATCAAATGATAAAATTTGGTTTTGCAAAAAAAAAAAAAAAAAAAAAATCCTCACTAGCTATTTTACTGGTTCTTATGATAATTTAAGTGTTTAGTCTCTGGAATTTATTGTTGCTTTCTAAAACAAAAATTGGAGCAAATAAGAAAATTTTGTACGTTGATCCCACCATATATCATAATGTTAGTCATTCTTTCTACCTTTTGCTTTGCAACGTGAGCTGACAAGCTCTGATCTCCTGTCAAATGTAATTTTTAGGAACAAGAGTTGTCTTTTGGGACCTGAGAGACACCTTCCTGTTCCTTTTATATCGTGGTAGCGTGGAAAGTGCTCGTTTAGACTGTTTCCTTTCACATATTGATACTGTAAGATGCCAGTTCATAGCCTCTCTCCCTTTTCTCTAAACTCTTTTAATGGGTCACTTTAACAAGAGATCTTTAGTTTCCAAAGAATGATTTTGTGATTTTCACTTGACCAGGTCCTGGACCACATCTGTAGTTTGGTTGATGATGCTGTCAGAGATCTTGTGGTTTTAAGCATTTTTAAGGCATCATTGGTATGCTCTCTTATCCTCTGTGATCTGCTCAAGCCCTTCCTTGGGACCTTATATTTATATACTTTATGTTTCAGGAAGGCTTCGTTTGGGTATTGCTGAATGGAGGTCCTTCGAGGGCATTTTCTGATTCTGACGTCATAATGATGGAAGAAGACCTAAATATATTGAAGGTTTGTTCTCCTTGTAAAGCAGCAAGGAACCACCACACTTATTTTCATAACTAGGGGAGGAAAAAAGAATGGAAGGGCTTATCATTTTCTGAAGAATTGAAAAAAGTGGAAGCTTTTGTTTCCTCTGCCCAGCCTAACAGAGACTCCATTATTTATTTATTATTATTATTGCAATAGACAATGCCGAGTAAATGCATTCATTTTAACATACTAGTCAGCATCTACTTAATAAAACCTCCGATGATGGTATCTATAACCAAAACTTATTGCAACTTATTTTCTTGTCAGTACAGTAACCAAAAAAGATTGCATTGCGTGCCCATCGTGTACATGATCAAATGCATTCATGTAGTAGAGCAAGGATTCTTGATCAAATTGTTTCCTAGCAATTTTTTGGTGCATGTAAATGACTTGCTGCATATGGAAGCAGTTGCTATAGGTGTCTATTTATTCTGTTAAAATTTCCTAGCTAATTATGTTATGTTGCTCTACTCTCTAGGAATTCTTCATTGCTGAAGGTGAAGGACTCCCTCGCTCATTAGTCGAGCGGGAAGCAAAATTTGCAGTACAGATTCTTAGCTTGTTTTCTCTTCAGGTTTGTTAGCTCAAACTTGGCTATGTTACATTAAGAGTGAATATTACAAGCAATCCAGTGCTTATGTTTCCAAAAACAAGTTTTTAAAAGTGACAGTTCCATGATTGCTCTTTGGCAGTCAGAATCAATTGTTCAGATGTTAATGTCGGCAAGTGAGCACATTTCAGTGGGATCAGATTTACATAATCATGGTCGCTTGCAGTTGGAAGATGCCCAGACTTTAGTACGAGTTTTATGTCACAAAAAGGATGGAGAGGCATCCAAATTTTTAAAAAGGCAATATCAGCTTCCCATGTCCTCAGGTGACGTTTTCCAACACAATGTGACTGCAAAGAATATGAATGCTTCTCATTTACATTTAGTATGTATATATCACAAAATATAAGTCTTTTCAAACTAAAATCAACTAGGCCATGCTTGTTTTGGCATTAAAAAATAAAAACAAAGAGAAATCCAAAGAGAATAGTCATTACAAGGGAACTCATCTAGAGATTTCACAGAATCACGGACGCAATGCAGGGTTGTTATCATGAGAGCTCAAGTAAGACAGGAAGTTGCAATTTAACTTATAGTTAGCATGATTTGAAAATTTATTTAGGGTCAGATTATCCCTTGTATTTTCTTGAATGAATAAACTTTTCTTTGCGTTCAAAAAAAAAAAAAAAGGACACTGTTTTTATTTGTTTTCCTTCAGTCAGGAAGTGAGGTAAAAGTTTCTGTAACATTCGAATTTGCTTACTGTTATTTTGTAATCCATTATTACATTCTGAAGCTTTCATGGAACCTTACACTAATTCTGGCCAACACTGGAGCATCTGATATGTTTTGGTTTTTCACTTTGGTAGAGTACGATGATTCTCCATCAAGTGATTCAACTTTGAGATCAACTCTCACATCAGACCTTCTGAAGGGGGGCACCTCATTCCAATGGAGCAAAAAGAGCCAGAGTAGTTTCAAATCATTTAAGAAGAAACTACAGGAAGCAACATCCGAAATCAGGAACATGGCAATTTAGTGGTACTGGAAGATGATATTCTTCTAAATCTAAAGTTTTTTCTGAATCTTTTTCAGTCTTGGAGATGGTCAATCCTTGCTGGGAGATTTTTGCGCTTGTGTAATTGCCGAGCGAGAATCAACTAGTAGCCTGTACGAGAATCAAGCTATAAATCTCAGTGTTTGGCCAAGATACCATATGGATTTATCCTGTTGTGTGTGTTTATTATTGAATGTACAGAGTTGAACCACTGACGCGTAATGTGTAAATAAATATGAGAAAATTTGCATATACAAGACCTGAACGCACAGCTTTAAGGCCTTGTTTGCTTAGAGGGACAATTTTATTAAAATAATTTTTATGAAAAAAATAGTTAAAAAAGTATTACATGGAAAGTCTATTATGTATTGTGTAAAAAATTAACAAGTTTCATTCTAAAATTTTATTAGAATTATATTAGATTCTTAATCTTTTTGTATTTAGTAAGAAATTAATATAGAAAAAATTAAAAAAGAAGTTATCAAATGAGATTTATATAAGAAAAATTAATAGTAAGTTTTTTTAAATGTAAAAAGAAAATTTTATAGGTTGAGAATTATGTAAGAGAAAATTAATATTAAAAATATTATTTTATCTTTTTTATTATAATATCAATATACAAAAAATTAAAAATAATCTTAAAAGAAAAAATTTTAGAGAAAAAAAAAAGGGGGGGGGATTCCCCTCACCCAAACACCCCGTTAAAGTTCTGGAATCTCATCATCGGGCCCGCCCTGCTATATTTTAAGATAAGAACGTCTAGAATACATCAAGCAATCAGGCCACTCAAGGTCCCAACTAGTGTTTCCTTCACGTCTTTGTATCCTTGGTGTGCCTCTAATTTCCACATTACACTGATTGCTGGTTGGCCCATCACAATCTGACACCCACAATGTTATCGTTTTTATTATTGTTTGGATATTACCGGCCTCTCTTATCTAAAACGCAAATGATGTCAAAACCCATTGTCTTTTTTCCCAAAAAAAAAATAAAAAAAAAAAGTGAACATGTGGGACTGTGGCCGAAAGCATCTCATGTGAAAAGAAATTATTATTATTATTATTATTGATTAACTTTGGTGGATCATGATTCATATTTCAAAAAGCTCGTGCCGAGCCGACGGTTTTGTTTTGTTTTTCTTGAATGAAATTACAATCACGCTTTTCTAAAGTTTAAAGCTGCTACATGTAAAAATTTAAAGTTTTAAAACTTATATAAATTAATTATGGTTTGAGGCAAGTACACGTGGTTTGCAAGATAGGCACGTAACTATAGCCGTGCGATATAACATAAAATGTTTTACATTTTTTTATTTATTCTTTTAACATAAGAATTTTTAAAATATTTTAAGAAAATTTAAATATGCACTACCTAAATAATTTAAAATTTATTTTATTTTGTTAAAAATAAAAAATTTTAAATTTAAATCGCATGACATGTGAGTGAAGTAGAATAAGATATAAAAGATCGTTCTCTTATTGTGTAACAAAAATAAGATAGGTATATAAATTTTAAATGTTTATATATATTTTTTGAAATTTTGTATTTTTATGTATACAAATTTAAAATTATGAATATATTATGTACACCCTTGTAGTATGTCTCTTTGTGTACTACAAGTAATTAAATTACGATTTCTCCTTTTGCTAACCATGAATTTGGATAGGAGCAAAATAAAAAAAACAGTACAATGTGATAAGGTTCAATAAAGAACAAAGTGTCAATAAAATTGATGTACGTATTAAGTAATAATAAAGTGGGCTTCATTTTTAATTGCTTAGGATTAGTTTGGAAGAATTGACCTATAATTATAATTGTAGTTATTGATTTTTTTGTCATTTAATATCACAAAAAA